AGTGTCCTTACAGGGGAAGAGCCTGCAGACTGAAGACACAGCTGTGTACTACTGTGCACGAGACTCACAGTGAGAGAATGTAATGGGAGAGTGATACAAAAACTCATTTAGACCTAATGTGATGTAGGTCTTATGGGAGGCATTTCTGTATTTTATAATAGGTCTCCTTGCAATCTGTGGACAAAATATTACACATTAATTAAGATTAATGTCAGTAATTTTCAATATGCATGCTGCAGTTTTTATTTCTATAGTGAATCCCTTGTAATTTGTCTGATTATTTTATATATGACCATTATGTAATTTATTTTTGTTCTTATTTTCTCTAGCTATTGATTAAATCCAATCATTCTCGCCATTCATGTCACACAGGATTCACTTTGGTCGACTGACAGACTGTAGTATGTCTCACTGACTCAACTCATAGGCTTTAAACCAGTTTATCTCTGTACAAAATTATACAACTATCCACCTCCGGGTTAATTAACCCAAGTGATTAGGCAGAAAACTATCAACATTATTTTATAATATCCCATGTTCCTGTATCAGCTGAAATATTAATTACACTTCAAAGTAAGGCACTGACATCTTTCTGAATGGCCACTTCTAACTTATTAACTATAAGAAGCATGCAAATCAATGTAAGAGTCAGAGTAATACATACCCAGGAGGAGGTACAGACAGTAAATATCAGAGATTTGATTACAGGGTCCTTTGTAGACCAAGTCAGCAGAGCTTTCCAACAAGACGAGCTTTGTCTAACTTTCTGTATGTTTATAATGGTTTACTGTCTGAGACTATGGACATTAGGGTTATGACTACAACATTTTTTTCAAAACTTGAATTTTCTTGATGTTGCATTTGATGAACTTTTACCCATAGATCACTTTTTTGAAGTTAATTTTATTGGATCATGGAAAAACCTCCCGCACCTACTGTAGCACCCCATCTGCAGACATCTATAAACCTCTACAGGACCTGCTTGATGAGTACAATGCATGGAACAGTATTCAGATGATCATCTCTGACACAACAGCAGTCAATACTGTTGGACTTCTTTTTTCCTATACGGTCACGGTCACCTGACATTAACTACAAGTTTATTGATGAGATTTTGGAACAGTATGATGATTTGCAAAATGCATACATGGGCACAGAAGTGATACCAGAGTATGAGAACCTTGGCTGGAGAGATGATTTTAAATTCCTTTTTGAGCTTTGTGAAGCATACAAGTTTTACAAAACAGTGGAAAAATGGCCTCGTATCAAATGGCACAAGCTGCCATCACTTCACAGTGCCAGGTGGAACTCACGAGGAATTTTTGCACTTATTGCATTTTTCCTTCCTCCAAATTGGCGACAAAAGCTGAGGGTAACTTGTGATTTCATTGCAACTACATGGTCGCGGGTCTGGTTTTCTAACCAACACTACTCAGAGATGGATTATGAAGACCTGCTGTCAGCAATATCCAAACTTCAGTGTCCCAAAGCTGTAAAATGCTTCTCTACTCACTGGAAAAATGAACCATCAGTGCTTGATGTGCCTCGCTCCAACATAGTAGCGGAGAGAGCTGTAAAGTTGACGGAGGAGGTTCATTCTACTTGCAAAACTGACAAATATCTTAACAGCAAATTTATCAACACTAATACACAAATCTGAAACACTATTAAAAACACTAAAAGTGCTATATGTACTCATTTCCATGTATTCCTCATGTGTATTGTATGTAAAACTTACATGTTATAATAAAGAGTGTTTGAGCCGCTAGGTGTTTCAATGTGAAATATTAGGTGTGGGAGGTTTCTTCATGTTCTGGCAAAACCAAAGTCATTTTTGTGAGTTTTAGGTAAAAGTTCATCAATTACAACCCCAGGCTAATAAATTTGAGATTTGTCATGACCCTAATGGACATTGTGTCAGTGGCACTAAGACCATTCAAATGAGACAGAACACAAGTATGTACAGTGCTGTATATCACTTACAATAATAAAACAATGTTTCTCACATGTAAACATTCTGTGAGCACTTTGTGTGACCTGCGTCTAGTAAAAGGTAAGAGGAGAGGGAGAGAGGAAGGGATGGGATTACAGTAAGAGGGTCTGTGAGACCAGGCCTGTCAGCCACTTCTCATCGGGGGACATTGTGCTGGATCTGTAAGACGTGCCAGAGTGGATCTGTGAGTCTGGACACATCAGAGCCAGTATGACAGCTTCCCTCCAGGTGAGACATGATGCACAACCTTGCACAAGCCTTATTTGGTCATGAAACTGAAATCAGCGTCTGCATGAAATTCTAACATCCCTAAATTTAATAGATTTTTCTGAAAAATGTTCCCTTACTTCTGAAGTTGCCCCCAAAAATGTGGCACCAGAGCTCAATATGGGGAGAAGTATGACCACCTGTGTTCATGGAGACACTCTTCATGCTTTCATCTGTCCTTCATATAAATGATCTTCCACATAAGAAGCATCATTGCAGCCGGTTCTCTTGTGTGGTTCCCCACCTTTAAGAAACACCTCCAGACCCATCTGTCCAATGAATTTCTCTACTAGTCTTTCTGATCCTTGAAAAGTCTAATTAGGTTCTTCCTTTGTTAGAAGTAAATAAATGCAATTTTAATAGGAACCAGCAGATGTCCCCAGTGTCACAAAAAATACAGGCAGCACAATGACGCACAATAATTATACAGATGCTCCTCAACTAACGATGGTATTACGTTCCGATAAACTCATCGTAAGCTGAAAATACGATTGATATGATAGATAAGTAAATAAATAAGTACTGACACTAAACATGTAGATAAACAAATTAATACTGTAACTAACTATTCATCCATCTGTCTATTTTCTGTACCTGCTTGTCCTACTCAGGGTCTCAGACTGGGGCACCAACCCATCGCAGTGTAACTAAGTACCAGTAACTGAAAAGTAAATATATGAATACAAGTTTATCCTGTCATTAGATGTGCAGTATTGTTTGGTTAAACACAGAATGAAAACACCATACCAAGCATTAAACACTATGAAATTCAAAGTTTGATAACTACTGAGTGCATCACTATCACACAACCATACAGTCAGGAGGGCGGTGGGGGAACCGGGGCCCTGCGGCTGGGGGAGGGCATCGGAGCTGCCTGGAGTGCTGCCAGGACTTGGTGGGGGTACAGGAACCGGTAACCCCCTAGGAGGGGGGCAGTGTACCACTAGGGGAACCCAATGAGCAAAGCATGCTGGGCCGGTGCCAGTAGAGTGAACAGCTCTGTGTATTTATTGTGTTGTTATTGTTCTGTACAGTGTTAATGTTACTAGTTGCAAATTGGGGGGGGGGGTGTGAGCACCCACCTTGTGTAGTAGGAGGAGTCAGAACGGTCAGTGTGTGCTGTAAGTGTGACTGGGGTAACATCAGCAAATGCCATTCTTCACTGTGTTCCTGCATTACTGTGTCTGACTCAACACTATATCTGAAACCTGCGCCATAATATTGTAATATTTACTATAGTATTTATAGTAATGACTAATAGACAGTCAGGCTTGAAATTATAACAGAGGGGCGGGTATTACTGTAAAATTTTAGACTATTTAAACTATACAATTAGTCCTGTTTGTTAAAGTCGGCTTACAGTGAGGTCATACAGAATTTTCCAATTGTATTCTGTAAAAATATGATTGTTCCTTGTGCACAGCTTTGCAAAAGAATACAATCAGTTAGTTAGGTGTTACAAAGCAAATGAATTTGACGTGACGAATGTGACGGATTTTGACTCCTCTAGCCCCACCCCCATGTCAATTGGAGTATTCAGTGCATTCCTGCCACAGCTTTTAAAGGAGCCAGTGTCAGTGTGTGACAGAGAGCAGCAGTCACTGGGACTCAGTGTGTACTTTACCTCAGTGCTCCTCCCTCTGTCCTGCAGCCATGAAGCTCCTACCAGCCCTGCTCACCCTCACAGCACTGGCTCTCTCAGGTCCCTGTCTCTCTCCTCTCTGTCTCTCTTTCTCTCTGCATGTTTCTTTGTGCTCATCTAAAAGTCTGCTCTACCTCTTTCTTTACAGGTGTGAAGGCTCAGATTGTACTGACTGAGTCTGAACCAGTGGTGAAGAGACCAGGAGAATCACACAAACTAACATGTACAGCCACTGGCTTCACATTCAGTAGCTACTGGATGGGCTGGATCAGACAGGCTCCTGGGAAGGGACTGGAGTGGTTGGCTCTCATACACCCAAGCTCTAGTGGAGTTTACTATGCCCAGTCTGTTCAGGGCAGATTCACCATCTCCAGAGACAACAGCAAGAACCAGCTGTATTTACAGATGAACAGCCTGAAAGCTGAAGACACGGCTGTGTACTACTGTGCCGGAGACTCACAGTGATGGGGGCTGTGGGGAAGCCGTACAAATACTACTTCCTCACAGAGAATAAGGATGACATATTATCGATTTATTTAGGTAACTTGATAATTTAGTTAATTAATATTTTTTCTTCTTTTAAAACATTCAAAAATGTACACAAAGCTGGGTACAGGAACAGTGATAGAATTCTTGACAGTTAAAGTATATGTGGGGAAATGTTGAACCTCAACACAGTAATGGTATCTTATTTCTAAGCTGTTTGTGTTATGAGGTTTACATTCACACTTTTAAAATACAAATATGTCTCAAATTTCATTTCTTATACTTTATTAAACAGAAACACGTGCCTGACATTAGTCTGTGTACCACTCTCCTGTGCAGCCGCTCTGTCCCCCCTCCCATCTCCCACACATGGTCCATCGCGGCTCCATAGGGGGGGGGCTGCTGTCCCCAGGCTCTGTATGTAATACTGAGTAATCCTTTGGGAGGATGGGGGGTAATAAAATGGGGGACCTCCCTTGTCACGAATGACACATGGGATTATTTTTAAACTACTTTTTGTTCTACAGACTACCTATATTGTGCTGGAGTGTAGTAATATTTTTAAATACAGTTTCCCTCAACAGAAGCAGTTTCTTTTCCTACAGGTGCACAGTGTCATACTGAGCTTATTATCCAGCTGCTATGATTGTTAAACCAGGAGAGTCTCTGACCATCTCCTGTAAAATCTCCGGTTATTCACTCACTGACAGCAGCTACTGTACCAGCTTCATCCAACAGCCGTCAGGAAAAGCACTGGAGAGGTTTTCTGAGGTTTGTGGTGATGGGGACACTTATTACAAGGCCTCACTATGGAATAAATCCCTCAGTCCTGCAATTAATTATTGTACTATAGATAAAACTGAGGAGTATAAAGTATGCCCTTTTTTAATGTATGCTCATTTTAACATAAAAATGTAAATCTAAAAACTATTAATCTAGAAACAGCATTTAATACCAATACCTTGAAATATGTTAATTAAGAATGAGACAACAATGAAACAAGATAAATATGTAAAGAAATGTCCCAAAGTATAAATCATTTCACCCATTTCATACATGAATGCAACAGACTGCCAGGATACAAAGCTTTATGATGATAAGAAAAAGAAATTTCAAAGACATTTAATATAATTCCTGTGTTCTCACAGTTCTGTAGCAAGGGTGATTATATGGATCAAGGCTGCCATTTTCAGTCTAAGGAAATATGGGATCCAATTCGTATGAAATGTGAAAATAGGCTGAAGGGTGTAGAATCGGCTGTGGTCTGTAGAAACGGATCGATTATCAAACTACAAACAGTCACTGCAGTTCCAGCAGGAACCACAAGATGTCCTCAGAGTGACAGTAAATGCAGGCAGCAGAGGGACACAAATATCAGACTGAGACCCATTTTAGATAGACTGTAACAGCTGTATTGCTTTTATAAATTGTTGTAAATCTTGTAATATTATTGTCATATTTTAAAAATATGAATAGTTTTACACTTGCAGAATATTTTATTGTGTTGAAAACAGTGACTGACTTGGTAGAGGAATATAAGAAAATAACCTTGCATAAGACAAAATTAAACAAAGTAATTAAATATATACTGTTACGCATTAGTGCATTTTAGTGCATTTTAAAACATTTAGAATGAGGTCATAGTGAAACTTGATTTTAGATTCTACAAATATTGTGTAATTATCGCTTGTGGACTGAAATACACGAAGATAATGTTTGTATAA